ATCCCGCCCCAAAAAAGGTACAATTTGTTAACCATTTTAGTCCAAATCTCACATGCAAATCAAATATTTTAATCGTTAATAATCCCCTCCAGTAAATGGAGCAGATAGTCCTGATCTTTTAATAGCAATTCAAATAGGTTCCATTTCTTTGTTAAGTTCTTATAGTTGGATCTACTTTGACTTATTTCCTAGATAATATGAACGGAAACTTGTGCAAGAAAATGTCACCCCAAATGTAAAGCAAACCAAAGAGATTTATGTGTTAGTTGGTAAACAAATCTGTAACCAATCAACTAATAATTTAGGTAGTTTAATGATAATTTCTTCTTTAGTAAAGCAAAAGTACGAAACTCAAATCATATGATATGTAAGGATGGTTAATAAAAAAGATGAAAAAGAGTTGCTTCCTAATTGTGCTATTTAAAATATATATATAAAAAAAACTTATAGTCACCAATCAAAGATCTTCATTGTTGATAGATTAGTTGAAATGAATACCAATTAAACTCCTAAAAGATAAAAGTTTTAGATCAACTTTTCTATTTTACTAAATGAAATTTGGGTTTATAGAACTCCGAATTTTTTCGGTGTCTAGATTGACATATGAATTTTTTTAATGTTTTGATAGTAAATTTTCTATTAAGTTCATAATTTGTCATCAAAAAGGTTTTGTAAAAAAAAGGTTGGTCATCCAAATTATTTAAGAAAATAGATGACATGGAACCAAATTAGATCATTCAAACAAGGTTAGGGATTTGATTATAGCAATTGAAAGTTTAGTGACAAACTTAAGCCACACTTGAAAGATCAGGAACCACTTACAAAAATCAAACAATAATACAGTGAAAGGTGGATCATTCAGTAGATGTTATTAATTAGGACCATGATAGGGACACTTGCAGGTTCAACACCTGGCTAGCTACACCCTATATAATATGTATCATTTGGCGATTTGGAATAATATCAGAACACTCCAGCGCTTAACTATTCAAGTAAACAATACCTATTCTCATTACCAAACAAGCTGGAAACATGTGTCTTCTTGTAGAAGAGATAGAAAAAGAGCATCGAACCTTCTAGTCCTCTCCCTTCACATATTACAAGTGTTTGATTCTTTGGACATAGATGCTTTGATCGAAGGTAAGGAAAAGCAAATGTGGTTGACTGTGGTCATTGGCTTCGAGGAAGAATCCAAAGATTTTCTTTTGTATTTTTTCTGCTTTCCTATCCTCCCCTAAGTGCACATTGATGACGAAAGTGTCAATGACAATCTAAGTTTGCAAGATACCTTACTTCTTGTTAAATTCCATCTTTCTTCTCTTTAATACGAAAAATATGAGTTCTTCTGATTTGTGAATAGTGGGTTGAAGGGGATTAGAGATATGGAAAAGTTAGTGGTACTAAAAAAAAAAATTTCAGATTTGACCAAATAAAAGAATCAAATTAAACTTTTTTTTTGGGTTGAAAAAAATAATTTAAAACTTTCGTGGTGATGGTATTTTAGAGATAAAGCAATATGGTGCTTAAATTCACCTAAATCCTAGGTTAATACAAAGTTACATGCACTTTATTCCTACGTTGTCTATTTTCGAATAAAAAGTTATCTTTCTTTTAACTGCTGCTACAGAAAAGGTAGATCTTAGTTGAAGACAGAAAGGCTATGTGGAATTACAATTCTAGTCATGCGATCCTTGTCTTCATCTTTGTAACTCGAGTACTGCGATAGAGCTCGTTTTTGTTCAATGGCCTAGACTTAGATAAAGGAACATCAGTAGAAATTGCTACTCCTACTTGAATATGGTCTTGGGGATTCGTTGACACTTTCATAACTCCTGCAGTCAACCTGGTTGCATAACCCATGGACTCATAATCTATACAATTTGGAGAAATTGAGGTTGGGGAAGGCCGATTAACATGATTTCATCAAATTGGGACGAGAAAGTGCCAAAATCTATAGAGCTTGGAGGAATTGAATTGGCCTTCAAGACTAGGAATTTCGAAAGAGCTAAACGATACCCCAAATAAATTTGGGATAAGTTTTTAACGCTATACAAATTTATTTAAATCATATTATATTTTGAGAACCGAATGATGTAGCTGAGGGTGTCGGTCGATAAGGTAACCATATCATTTGCCTATTAATTAACTAACTAACTAACTGTAGTAGATAAAGTATAAATTTATTAATTGAAAGAAAATGATATTTTTTAACTTGAATGCAGTAAAAAAACAAATCTTAGTTAATAAAAACATTATATAATTTCATAACCTAAACTACATCTAGTTTAAATTTTTTTTTTAAAAAAAAAAACCTTCATTTTAAAAAAAGGGTATGGATTTATTAATTTTGTTTCTCTCAACCTTAGAGACCCAACCCAACTTGGTTATATTGTAAGAGCGAAGAGACATGCTGGCATGGATTGAGGTTGTTATTTCAATAAATTAATCACCCTTTTTCACAAATTGGTATTTTTTTTCACAAATTATTAGAGAGTGGAAGATAATTCATGAGATCTCGTGCTTATGATTTAATTATTAGGTTAAAATATTAATTTAGTCTTTTAATTTTTATATTTGTATTAAAATTATTCTTAAATTTTAATTTTTAGTACTAAATTAGTTTTAAGTTTAAGATATTAAAATTAATTTAGTCCTTAAACTTTGATTATAATTATCAATATGAACTTTCAACTCTAATTATGCATTAATTTAATATATAAATGAAAACATATTATGATAGCAAAATATATCTATGTGATTCTACATGTTATTAATATTTTTAAAAAGAATTAATTTTGTAATAAAATAATAAGTCATGTAATACTTTTGTTAATTAAAAGGTTATTTTGATATTGAAAATTAAAGTTTAAGCATAATTTTGATATTTTCTTAAATTTAGGGACAATCTTAATATAAATTTAAAAGTTAAGGGTCAAATTTGATTTCAACCTAATTCTTAAGGTCCCACGTGAGCACATCCCATTATTTCGCCTCTGAACGTGCTTAACGTCTTAACGTCGCACTGGAGAACCCATTGAGTCATAGCGTGCCTTTGGGATTGTTTTAAACTGTT